TAGGGTGGGTTTAAACTCTTCTCTACCCTTTAAACTCTCCCATATGTTTATCTATTTTCTCTCTTATGTTTATTTATTCTCTCTATATATCTTATATTGGGTGGGTTTAAACTCATTCATATGTTTATCCATTATCTCTCCGATGTTTATCTATTCTCTCTCTATCTTTAGGATAAATTCTTCTTTATGTTTATCTATTCTCCCCTTACAATGACTAATCTATGTGGATAAACATCGAGAAGAGTTTAAAAAGAAAAGACGAGTAAAGCATCGTGAAATAAGGGTATAGTGGATTTCGATTGTATCTATTGAATTGGGTTGTTCAACAACCGAAAAAGGGAAAATCCATAGACAGAGAATACACATAGTCCTTTTTTTTCAAGAAGCGAAAATTTAAACCCTTCATATTCCCATTTTTTGTTGTTAAAAAAATGGACATCCAGGTCGGAGCCATTTTCTATTGTTGAACCACCGAATTTGATTAGTTTTCAGTTGTTCAATCACCAAAAATGGGAATATATCATTTTCGGTTGTTGAACAGATTGATTTTTAGTTGTTCAACTGAAAATGAGAATATGAAGATTAAACAATCGGGGCCTTTGGTTGTTGAACAACTAAATTTGATTGTTTTTCGGGTGTTCAACATGGGAATATGATAGTTAAACTATCTGGTCATTTTCCGTTGTTGAACAACGAAAAACCAATAAAATTGGGTTGTTCAACCATGGTAAAAGTGTCTTTTTAAAAAAATTCGTTATGAAGTCCAAAAAACCGATATTCCAGTAATAACGAATAGTATAAAGTATTTTTGTAATAACGAGAAGTATAACGGATATGTACTTAATTTTCCTTAAAGTTTATGAATTTAATTTTTAAGAAATAAGAAATTTTATAAGATTAGGACATGAATGGAAGTAATATAAGGTATAGCCTTTCATATAACACAATGGCCAAACACAATAGTTAGGATCAAGGTTTGAAAAAACAGATCGGTAATTCGGATCGCCCATCCCGAAAATCAGTCCAATTCGATGGATCGACGGTCCAGATCGGCGATTCGGAAGAGTGAACTAGCCAATAAAAGATAAAAGTGGGGCCAATTCTGACCAATATAACCAGGTAATTCATAGAGCGAACAGGCTGGTTCCGATCTAGATCACCATTTATTTAAACCTTGTTAGGTAAAGCTTGTAAATTATTATAGAGGGAGAGAGAGAGCTTTTTAAAGCGCAGAGCATGAGAGAGAGAAGCGATGTCTTGTGTTTCATCCTGAAAGATGAGTTTTAAACATTTTTTGGGGCCGGGTTGCCCTGTGGAAAAGGATAAATAAAGTTGTGGAGTAAGGTAAGTGTTTTTTTTAGAAAGGATATTCAATGTATACATTATTGGGTTACAAAGAAAGGAGGCTATTCATTTTTCATGTATAAGAATCTATCACAAAATTAAAAAATGTTTGTGATTTGGAATCACCCGATCTTGTATAAGAATCTATCACAAAATTAAAAAAACGTTTGTGATTTGGAATCGCCCGAGTCGGCTCAGGCCTAGTGAGTTACCAGGCTTGTTCTTGTTTGGATCAAGAAGTCCGCTCGTATCCCATTTTCATGTTAGAAAAAAGAAAAGGTTAAAAGAATAATGCTGTTTTTTCTTTTTATTCCAACCGATAATACATCACGCAATTTTGATTTATACTTTGTATTAGATGAAATCAAATATTTGGTTTTTAAATTTTTTATTTTAACATATCCTTTCACCATGGAAAAGAGAGAAAGCATACACCTTGAGGTTGTTAACAGTTACAACTATGTGTGAAAATTCATGCGCCACTAGGATGTGGACAATCCAAACGTTCAATCAACGATGACATGTCTAGAGAGCCAATAGTCCCATGGTGTATACTTTTTCATGAGGTTGAGGTTTGTATACGGTGTACACTTTAAAAGGTCAAAGTAAGGTACGCTTTCAAACTCCACGTTAAGTCGAAAATATTAGAAATCTACTTATACTCCTAATTATAAAATTTAAAGTTTCAAAATTATTGTAGATCAAACATATTTACAAGCACATTGAAATCTTGAAAATGGATATTTGTGATATAAAATGCACTATTAATAGTTAAAATTCCTTTCTTGTCATATCTATACATTTTGAGTTTGAGATGATAAACTAGTGTGTTTTCCAAACTACGAAACAACCTTTTTTTGGTGGGTTTATGAGGTGCACGTTTCTCATACAGTATGAAGTTAACACCTTCTATAAAGTAGACTAGCACAGAGTGGGACCACTCAAATGGGGGTGGCCATGGGCCAGGCATCCCAGCCTAGAGCCCAGTCGGGTCAGCCCTAAAATGTTAGGGATTGACCCCTAAGTTGCGACCTAAGGGCCAAGCCCAATTTTTTAGTCCCAATCCATCACTACGTCGAGCTATGCCTAGGCCAATGTGGTGGCCCGGCCCGACATGCTTTGCCAGCCTACAAAGCCCGGCCAAGCCAACTGCAAGAGTCATGCATTAAATTTGTCACCCTGCTTATCTAAGGGTTGATATGTTTGATGAAATTTGCTTTGGTAAAATGTTTTTAGGGTACCCTAGGGTATATGTACTCAAAAAGGATGTGCACATGCATTTATAGCACCAAAAAGACTGTAGAGTCATATCGCAACTAGGTTCGAAAAGGTTCAATTTTTCTTGTTCCTTGCGAGTCATGAATGAATGACGCTTGCGGCAATGGTGAACTAATAATGATACGATTTACTAGTTTGTAAAGAATGCTTTTGTCATAAGTTGTAACAAGACAAGGTTTGGGCAGTAGGACTGAGAATTTTTTGGATTGGATCTCATTCTACCCAGATTTGGATTTGGATCCGAATGGAGCCAGAATGTTTGGATCCAGATCTGGATCCAAAAACTCTCCATAGGATCTGAATCCGATCAGTTTCACATTCGGATCCGAAGTGGGGATTAGGTCTTTAAAAGTTTAAAATATTAGACCACTTGCTTGCTCTGCTAGGCTACACTACCACTGGCTTTACTAGTTGGTACCTAGCGAACGAATAGTGGTAGGCTAACTATTGGCTGGGCTTTTTGCTGTTGTGAAAACCCATTTTGTTGATAGCGCCACGAGCTCAAATAGAATGGCGAGCAATGAGTTCAATCATTAAGCAACATGGGCAAGGAGCAAAGCCCCAAGTGATTTCATGTTATAATTTAAATTGCTTGGGGCTTTGCTCCTAGGTCCTCATTTTATTTAGTGTTACACAAGAAAGCACTATATATATATATATATATAACCGGGTCAAATGTAGATAGGATCTGCCTATACCCAAATTTGATACGAATGGTAATTCTAATTTAAATTTTAGTTCTGGATCTAAATTTTAGATCCAGATCTTGGATCCATACTTGAATCCGAATAGGATTTAAAATTCGGGTTTCGGATCCTCACTGTGCAAATTTGCAGCCATATTAGGCACATGGCCAAGTCCATGCCTAGACTAGCCAGAGAAAGCCAAGCTACGCCCAAACATCATAATAGCTTTCAGGCTGTCATGGCCCTTTAAATTCATACAGGGCCGAGCTGGGCTAAGGATTAGGCATCTGGAGTTCACGTAGGGCGAAGCCAAAACCTCAGTTCAGTCTAGGCCCGGTCCGTTACCACCCTCTCTCGAAAATTTTGGAAAATCTTGGGCCTTTTATGGGACGTTTGGTTTGTCTATCATATGGTCAAGTGTAGGAATATTTTCATACTAATTGGTCTTAATGTGTGTTTTCACACTAATTGATAACTAATTAATATAAAAACATTCTCACACTTGACGGCATGAGATAATTTTTTCATGTGAAAATATTTTCTAGAAAAGTGATCTCTTGGGAGAGATGAACGGTGTGCACAAAGCCCCAACAAATTAAAAGAAGAAGTCGTATCTTCCATTAGAGTATAGTATACATCTACTCCCTCAATCTGAAGGTTTACCTAGGAGGATTTTTCGATCTAAAATTTAGGAAACCATCCAATATATCATTAGATAGTTATTTTTTAAAGGAAATTGTAAATATTAGTTTTCTAACTCTTAGGTCTCGCTCTCTAAAAATTAGACGGCCTCATTCAATTTTAAGACATTATTTTTTACGTTTTTATACAATGAGACAATTTACCTTTGGTACAAGGAGGGTACAATTACTTATAACCATCTAATCGTGAAATCCGATAGTTTGGGTATTGTTATGAAGTTCAAGAAAATTTCTTTCGAACTTTGAGCTTGGTCAATGGGATAGTTGCGGCCACCTAATTTTACATCCAATGGTCAAGATTCATTGCGACCATCTTATATCAAAAGTAAATAGTCTCATTATATACTTTGTTTTTTTTTGAAGTGCATAGATTGTACAATTAGGAAATACGAGTCATTTGTATGAGGTTGGGTCCTAAACAATCAAAATTAGGCACAACTTTAAATAGTGCCTAAATATGTTAGTTTCCGTATAAGAAATCTTTGTGATGGCCTAAAAGTTTATTTTTATCTCTAATTATAAAATTTAAATATCCAAAAATGCTATAAATCGAGTAAATCTATGCACACTTAAAAATCATAAAAATTGACAGTAGAGAAAATGTATTTCAACCTCTTTTATAATGAGCTTTTTTTGTTAAGGTCCTCACCCTTTTATAAACTTACTTTTGTTATTGGGAAATTTTTTATTGGGTTGAGAAGGTTAATTCCGAAAAGTGATCCGAGGGAGTAAATGAACACTATACACCCGCAAAGTATAACATCATCTGGCTTAAAGGAATCTCTCCGAAAATGAGGCTCTCCTTTCTCCTCCAACTGAAACCACGACCTCAGATTGTACCACGTGGCATCGACCATTAAACCTCAGCCTCAAGCGCCCTATCCATCATGAAAGCACGTGTCCACATCTCATTTGCTTATTCGATACTCTCATCTCAAGAGATTCCATTTGAGGGCCCCACTCCAATGCATTGCATTTCATTTCATTTCATTTCATATGCTCCTCCTACTGGTTTGTTTTCAGATCAAAAGCCAAGGGTTGGGGTTTAGATTGTAGAGAGAGAAAGGAAGTAGGAAGAGAGAGAAAGGAAGTAGGAAGAGAGAGAAAGGAAGATGGCGTTGGTTTCTTCGTCCCTCTCTCTAACGGCTACAGCTACAGCTGCTGCTGCCTCTTCTTCATCGAGCACCTCAACCGTCGATGCAGGGAGGCAACAGTTTGTGATGGGGGGAAGGCCAACTCAGTCCTCGAGGAGCTCATCAGGGTCCCTCAGGAAATCTCCATTTGTTGTGAGAGCTGCTTCTACTCCACCTGTGAAGGTTTGTATGTTTGATGAAACTCAGGCATGAGAATGTTAAATAGTGGAGAGAGAAAGATGCATTTGTACCCATGATTTCTTGGGTCCTAGAGAGAGAGAGAGAGAGAGAGAGATGTATTTCTATCTATTGTTTTTTTGGGTATTTTGCTAATCGCATGTTTATCGATTTTTCGTCACGAAAACCATGAAGAAATTGATTGACTGAGAGAGAGAGAGAAGTTGTTTATGCGATGGAGTTTTTGTTTCAGCAAGGAGCAGACAGGCAGCTATGGTTCGCATCTAAGCAGAGCCTTTCTTACTTGGATGGCAGGTATGTAAGATGCTTCTTCGAAACGTGGGATTCCCCACCTTCAAATCTCTAAAAATGTGCGCATCTTGGTTGTTTGGGGTGGACATAAACTCACTTAACTGAGGCCAAAATCAGGGGAGGGGATCTAGAACCATGTGAGGAACTCGTTTTTTTTGAAATGTTAAACCTATTTATCTTGATAAAATTCTTAAGTGTAAACTGATCCCGACGAATATACTCCCAAAATCCAACTATATGAAAATATAATTATTAAATGTCTGAGTTCCACACTTATGAGATTCGTACAAAACCAGAATGCTATATGTTTTTCTAATCGGTACAATATAGTAAACGCGGATTGGAAATAAACTCGTCTCATATCACCAGTAAAGGGAACAAACTTCTCCATCACTATAACATTCATCATCCAATCCAATCCAATCCAATCCAATCGGTATGATGGTATTAAAACATCAATTGGGAAGGGAACAAACTCAAATGGACCAACTTCTCTCTCACTCCAAAAAGTCTTCCAATCGGTCAAACAAACTTCGATTGGGTACATAACATGTCAATAAATTCTTTGAAATTTATTGACACCCTAGTGCCGAAAAAATCAACAAAATTCCACGTAACTACAGTCAGTTCCCGCATAAATACGACAACACTCCCTGCTGGATGCTGGTTTCGAAGGTTAAACTTGACGATGAAAAGAGTGGAGGTTGAAGAATTAGATCATGTTTCGGGTATGTAAAAATTCCAAAGTAGAATCGCGGCTAAGCTTAACGCAAATGTAGAAGAGTGATGGTGGAGAGAGTGCAAAAAAGCTCAACACAAATGTAACGAGGAGCAAGATCACCTGAACTCCACTACTGCACTCTTTTTAGGGGGGTGCCTCCCTCTCTTTCTCTCCACAATAATTTAATTAACCGTTAATACTAACCCAACCCCCCTCTTCTCTCTGTCTAGCCTCCCCGGTGACTATGGCTTCGACCCCCTCGGCCTCTCGGACCCAGAGGGCACCGGCGGCTTCATCGAGCCCAAATGGCTGGCCTACGGCGAGGTCATCAACGGCCGCTACGCCATGCTCGGGGCCATCGGCGCCATCGCCCCGGAGATCCTCGGCAAGGCCGGCCTCATCCCCCCCGAGACCGCCCTCCCATGGTTCAAAACCGGCGTGATCCCGCCCGCCGGGACCTACAACTACTGGGCCGACCCCTTCACCCTCTTCGTCTTCGAAATGGCCCTCATGGGCTTCGCGGAGCACCGGAGGTTCCAAGACTGGTATAACCCTGGCTCCATGGGAAAACAGTATTTCTTAGGGTTGGAGAAGTGGCTTGGGGGATCGGGTGAGCCGGCGTATCCTGGCGGTCCGATTTTCAATCCATTGGGCTTGGCAAATGATGAGAAGAGCAAGAAGGAGATGAGGTTGAAGGAGGTGAAGAATGGGAGGCTGGCAATGCTGGCGATTGTGGGGTATTTTGTGCAAGGGTTGGTGACTGGGGTGGGGCCTTACCAGAACTTGTTAGACCACTTGTCTGACCCTCTCAATAACAACATTCTCACTAGCCTCAAGTTCCACTAGACCCTACCCTTCTCTTCTCTGCTCTCTATCTCTATCTCTATCTCTCTCTCTTGACATTCTTGGGATGAAAGTTTACTTATATATATAAGTGGGACTGCCTTTTGTTGTCTATGGACACTGATGTCAATGTGAATTAAGTGTTCTGGTAAAAAATAGTCTCTCTCTCTATATGTGAATTAAGAGCAATAGTCACAAAGTCTCTCTTTTTCCCCCCCTCTCTCTCTCTATGTGAATTAAGAGCTATGGTCACAAAGTGTCTCTTTCTCTTTCTCTCTCTCTCATTGTAGTGTATTTATGTAATGTATGAACTAAGAAAATGTGAATTGCAAAAGGTCAGACTCCCTCCCTCTCTTATTGTAATGCTGGTGAGATATGGGCCCTCACTTTGGAAAATGTATATAATGAAACTCTTTACTTTGGGTACGAGGTGGTCATAATTAATTTTGATAATTGGACGTGAAAATACGTAGTTACATTTATTTCATTATCAAGTTAAAAGTTCAAAACAAAAAATCTAAAACTTTAGCAAAATAGTTTGATAGGGCTATAGCCATGTCAAAATAAGTAAAGCTTCGTTTCATTACTCATTGAAAATTACAATTCAAGTATTAGAAAACCTTTGCATCGATCATCTCGGCTTGAACATTACAATTGCGAGAAAAAAAAGAGAATTTTAAGTTCTAAAAATAGTGTATATTGCAACACATTTTCTAGACCGTCCATTTGGTTCTAAAAAACTTGTTCACAAATCCACAAGTTCTATACTATCGTTTTTGAGATTCAAAATTTATACTCAGTTTTGGAAATTGATTTAGAGCCATCATTGAGATTTTTGTTGCCCAACAAATTTTTTGGATGAGGATTTGAGGTGGGTCATTATTTTATTTTCATAAATACTAGGCCTTATAAAATCTTCTTCTCAAACTTTATGAATTGTGGTATCTTTGTACCAAAGATAAATGGTCTCAATATATACAACCCCTTTAAATGCCATGAAATATTGTACATAAATATAAGATTTTCTTTTTTTTAAAGGAAAATAATGAGTTTTTTTGTCACCATCTTTCCTTTTAAAGGTAGCGGACAAAAAAATTCCTTATTTTTATACAGAGAAAGCACTATATTTATGTACAACATTTCATGACATTTTAAACCCTACTGTTACGAAGTCTGGTTATTCTCTCTCTCTCTCTCTCTCTCTCTAACTGTACGAACTGTTACTTGAAATTGTAACCCACAAATGTACATTATTTTATAGAAATAAGCAAAAATGTCTAGTGTTAGTTTTTTTTCTTTTTAAAAAAGAGTCATTAAAATATACCCAACTCATCAAATATTTATATTAGGAAAGTTTATCAAAATAGCCATTAGATATGAAGCATATAACACTTTGCCCATTGACAACTATTCCACCCCAAATCATGTGTTTTTTGTAGCTATTTAAAAATTAAATCGACGGATACAGATAAAATTATTCATTTCTCATGAATAATTTGACAAATTTCTCGTCAAATTTTCCCTAATTTCAATGATGATATGTATTTTAAGGAAAAAGTTTATATAAGGATGCTACCTTATAATGGAGAACTACATATGCCCCTCAAAAATCAAAACTAGTATTAATGTTGAAAAGCCTTTTAATTGATCATCTCGACATCGAGATGTATGATTATGAAAAATAAAAAGATTTTAAATCTAAGAAATAATACATTTTGAAACATATTATCTATACCTTTCATTTTCAAAATTTTCATATGTTTGTTTATAGATCTACTTGATTTTAACCATTTTTGAATTTTAAAATTTTATAATTAGATATAAAAATAGATTTTAAGATAATCCTAAGAACATTTTACATCAAAATTATATACCATGATAAAATTTGAAGGTGCACGTTACCTCTACACCTACGGACGCGTCCATATGCAAATTGCACTCCTGTATTTTAATGGTCTTTGGAAATTAATACATGAAATAAAAATGTTAGATACTTCACATCTTAGGCATATCTTAAAGTGAAAGGTTTATAAAAGGCAGCACACCTCAAAAATTAAATTATCTGAAGTTGGAAGACCTCTCAATTTATCATCTTGAAGTCGAGATATATGGATATAAAGAAAACAAAAACTTTAAGCCCTAAAAACAGTGCATTTTGTAACAGGTTTTTCAGACCGTCTATTTAAATACTTTCCAGTGTTTATATATCTGCTCTATTTTTAAAATTTTAAATTTCATAATTATGTTTGAACATAGATTTCAAGCCATCAAATGTTTTTATACCCGAACTACATCTTCCACTAAAATTTAAAGGTGCGCCTTATTTGTTTAACAAGAGGTTATCACTTTATACAAACCTCACCCCTATATAAATACCTCAGAAACAAAAAATATTACCCCTCTAAAGTATGAAGGGTCTCGGGTTTTTCTTAAGAGACTTAGTGTCCATTCATCGTATGAATATACAAACTTGTCTTTTATAGACAAATTACAAATGAGAAAATATAAAAATAAATCACAGTTTCCTATACTAGACCTATACTTACCATGAGAAAATATAGAAATAAAGTACAGTTTCATATACTGTAACTAGACTTAACATAAATACAAGATATTGTATCTATCCTTCCCATATATACTGGATATTGTATCTATCATTCCCATATATACTGATTACAATATACACCTTCCCAAATATACAGATTACTATATAGACCTTCCCAAATATACGGATTACTATATACACCTTATATATTAACCTAATAGGCACTATATACTTTATTTTCACACTCCCCCTCAAACTCAAGATGCTATGAGAGAGAGCAGTTGGACTTTGAACACTAATTATGGAAGCGAGCAGCTGGATCTTCAGGTGTATAGCATGACAAGTAGATACAGTGGTTGCCATGCTTAGATTGCTTGGTCAACAAGCACAGAAAGCAGCGACGGATCAATAAGCCTGAGTTACATATGACCTCAGGAACGTAGGGCAATATTAGAGTAGGTTCAATCAATCATACAAAAAAAAAAATCCAAACAAAACAGTCTAGACAACTAAGCAAACAGAATGACACTTAGAAGAGCTAACAGAACTTGATGTGGATCCGATACGGATTCAGCAGCTTGTAGACCAGAACAGACATGATCGAGTAACCAGGCAATAAATTCGATCATATAACAAATTTTCAGAGGGTTTTTTTTATTTATTTTTTATCGAGCTTCAAATGGTCAAAAGAACAAGATCGAGTAATAGAATAACATACTTGATCTTACAAACAAGAAGAGATAGAGCAAGGGAAAGTGAGAGAGACGCAGAAAGCCAGAGATACATAAGAATGACCAAAAAAAAAAAAGTCGGAAAACTTGATGCACATGTGGCATACTAGGGAGTAAAAAACACAACTAAGTTGTAGTTTTGCAGAGAGTCGAAACACAACTCGACAGAAGTTACAACGATTGGGTGAGCAACAGACTCGTCTTGAAATCGACGATAATGCTTCTAGGATGAGGAATGGATACAACTAAGATGAATCTGGCTCTGATATCATGTGAAGAGACAATGTCCATTCATCGTATGAATATATAGACATGTCTTTGATAGACTAATTATTGATTACAACATACAATATATACTGATTACAATATACACCTTCTCAGATATACAGATTACTATATACACCTTCGATATGAACCTGATAGGCAATCTATACATTCATTTCACATAAAGAAAGTGTTATTATGATTAGATCATCTATAGAATGAGTGAGGCCTTTGGTCCATTCAAAACCAATCCAACCACTAGTCGAACTGGTTGGACTTGATTTAAGGAGAAAAAAAATAGTATGATAATTTATTACTATAAAATATATTTTAAAAAAGGTGTGGTTTGCATAAGGTTGCAACCTTAAAGAATCCAATTAAGGCACACCTCTAAATTTTATCATAAATATAATTTTGATATAAAAAATTCTTAGGATGGCTTAAGAATGTATTTTCATCTTAATTATAAAAGTTCAAACTCTAAAAATAGTTCAAATCAAGTAGATCTATAAACACATAACAATCTTGAAAATGGACAGTCCAAATAATGTGTTGCAAGATGCACTATTTTGCAGTCATGAAATCTTTTCTTCTTTCCATAGTCATACATGTGGATGCTGAGATGATCAATTAAAAGGTTTTCAACATCCAAATAACCTTTTACGATGAATTTTTTTAAGTGCCTCTTTAATTCTACAATTTAAGGTTGCAACCTTATTTAAATTTTTTTTACCTAATTTTATTTTGATGGTTGTAGGAGCATCATCCAACCAACCAAAATCAGTCTCACATCGATTTTGACACGTGTAAATTTTTTCTTGGCCAACACCTTGATGGCGTTATGAGCACTAGTTTGATTGCGATAACCATGTCCTAAATACACCCGATATTGGGAATTTCGTCGAAAGTTCGGCCGTGGGAACGAAAAGCGACATTGTGCCCTTGGCTTCCATTTACTGTTCACGTACGCCTCTTATTACGTACGGGCCCAAATTATCGTTGTGTCTTTTTAGAGTGCCTCAAAAGGTTGAAAAAAATTACCCCAAATTTACCACGCCTGGAATGATTAAAAATAACTTTTCTAACAAAAGAAATACTGATTGCTGTATTTACACCCAATTTTTTTATAAAAATAGCAAAATTGTCCCCTTATAGGTTGTTTGTGATTTAAAATTTATTTATTTTTAATCAAAAGGGTGTGGTTTGTTTAAGGCTTCCACCTTAAACAATTAAATTAAGGCGCACCTTCAAATCTTATCATAAATATAATTTTGGTGTAAGAAATATTTAAAATGGCTTAAGAATCTATTTACATCTCTAATTGTAAATTCTTAATCTCCAAAAATGTTTCAAATCAAGTAGATCTATAGATACTTAAAAATCTTGAAAATAGATGGTCCAGATAATGTGTTGTGAGATAAACTATTTTTAGGACTCGAAATCTTGTTTTTTTCTTATATTTATACATCCACATGTTGAGATGATCACTTAGAGGGTTTTCTAACATCAAAATAGTTATAATGGATTTTTGAGATACACCTTAATTCTACATTTTATGGTTGCACCTTTATATAAAAAATTTTCTTATCAAAATGTCTATAATTTATAAAGTACTAATATTTTATTTTTATTTTTTGTATTATTTCAAAATACCAATGAAAAGATACTTAATCATGAATTGGAATATAGCTATAAATGTGTAAAATATTAAAGGGATTGCATACAATGAGACCATTTATCTTTGATACAAGATGGTCACAATCTCTTATGGGTGTTTTGACAAATTTTATTTAAAATTTTTCAGAAAAAAGATAAGTAAGTCCAAAATTTTCCCATCTATCCTATAAGTAAGGAAATTTTTCAATAGAACTATTTACATTTTACCAAATATTTTTTTATTTAATTTCAAGAATCCCTTCAAAATACATGTGATAGGAACATTTGAAAATGCATATAAATTTCATTGAAGAATAATACATGCCATTGAAGTCGAATATGAATCCTCCATCCTCTGTCACATCAATTTAAGCATGGGGAAAGCCGTTTGATTTATTAGACGATTGAAAACTGAGCCGTTTTTGGGTTTTAGATTAATTTAATTTTAAACGAGTAACATTAAAATTAGTAATTGGAAATCGGGTGCAGTTGGCATACGAATGCATCCGTAGCTTTAGAGGTAAGGTGCGCCTTCAAATTTTATCATGATATATAATTTTGATGTAAAATGTTCTTAAGATCATCTCAAAATCTATTTTTATATCTAATTATGAATTTAAAATTTTAAAAATGGTTAAAATCAAGTAGATCGATAAACATATGAAAATCTTGAAAATGGACGGTGTAGATAATATGTTGTAAAATGCATTATTTCTGAGACTTAAAATCTTTTTATTTTTTATGGTCATACATCTCGATGTCAAGATGATCAATCAAAGGATTTTTCAACATTAAAACTACTTTTTTCAATGGATTTTTGAAGTGCATCCATAACTCTACATTATAAGATTGGAACCTTATATAAACTTTTTCTTTGGAAATCGCTCGAAAGATTTGTTTTTCATTATGAGATATATCAGTTTATTAATTCACTTATTGTCTCAATCAAAATTGAAAATTCCCCGCTTTCTATTTAGAGACCAAATCTTAAAAAAAGGGGAATCACAAAATAGTAGTAAATTGAAAATTTTGTGTTGCCGGTATGCATGACTTAAAGAAAAATAATTGTTTCAAGAAATAACTCACAAAGTAGACTAATGAATTTTACTTTTTCAAGTAATTTGACTATAAAGATTTAAAATAATGTTTCGGAAATTACCAAGACATTAATAAATTCAAAACAAAGAGGAGATATTTTGGAGCTTCGATGAGAATCAAGAAAAAGAGAATCCGTTATTTTTAACTTTATTATGAAAATACCGTCAAGTTTTTGCTATTATAAGTATACCCTTTTTTTTTCACTTCATAATATTTTTTTTAAAATAATATAACTGTTCTTTTCCGTGTTTCAAGAAGTTTCAGTTTAAAATTTTGATTTTTGAAAAACCAAATTAATTAGACTTTTGGTATTCCAATAACTAAAAATATTAAAATTTTGATTATTGAGAAGAAGATTCGTGCTAACCTGCAAACTAACACTACAAGCACTCCTCTATTTTTTTTTAAAGTTATTCTATCTTTCACGATATTTCCATAATAACATTAAAAATAATAAATTTATACGTTATTTTCTCAAAAAAATCTAAATGTAAAAAAATCGACAAAAAAAATTATTCGATGGATATAAAAATTCGTTAATATTAGAATAACTTAAATTAACAACGATCTCGAAAGAAGAAAGGAACTCAATAAAAAATTAGATTAAAAGACTAAACAATCAAAACCATAGAAAAACGCTTAGACTTCCGCGTTTCCTAAAAAAAAATAAAAAAAATAAAAAACAAATATAATATAATTGAAAATTGGTTTATGCTCATTTATTTAATTAATATATTATTGAATGGCTTTATTGCACCCACGTCAAAAAATCCCCATAATTAAAAAATAAATTTCTGTTATTTAAAGGTTTTTTTAGTGGAAAGTTAGGCCGCAATAGCATATATTCAAATACAATAATAATAAATCAATTTTGTTACTCCTTCAAGGAATAATAAAGGTCAGAATAAACAATTATTTTTAAAAGGTGGAGATTATTTTGAAAGCATAAATTTTAAATTTTATGAATAAATTTGCAGTTTCCACGAGAGTTGACGTGGTTGGGGAGCATTGGGTAAAGCTGACATGGTTCAGAAGTTCCATGCACAGTGCGTACGAGCGACCACAGAGAACAAGAAACTCAATACTCTCTCTCTCTCTCTCTCTAGAT